ATGAGGGAAGGGTGTGCTCTGCCATCTCCCACAGGCAGCCCCCATCAACTTTCTTAGTATGAAAATCCATTGAGCTTATGGTTTTAACAAGATCCTTATCTGTTAGAGATGGAAATAATTAAAAGTTACCCTTGCAGTGCAGCAATTGCTATATCGCTTTGTTACTATTTATACACCTGTATCCCTTATGGCTTATGATCTTTGAAGGACAGCATGTTTGTCTTCTAGATCTTTGTATGAGAACAGCGTGGTGTCATTGAACATCTACAGATCATAATTTTAGCTGCCTTCTCTCCAAATAAATCTGCACATTTGTGTTAGACTTAACTTCTCTGATCCTCTGTTCTTAAACTGAGAAAAACAAAGGATTAAATGAGATAGAGGGTTCTTGTATGGTGCTTGGTTCATAGACAGCTTTTGATAAATAGTTGCTGTTTATCACTTCCGTTATTGTCATTATTATTATTGGTTTCCCAGAACTCTTCTCAATGTCTGGTACCTACTAAGTATTCAGTAAGTTTTTGATAAATGAATCATTCATAATCATATAACATATATGCTTAATTTTAATTGATTATTCTGTTGACATTGGCTGTACCTTATTTACTGGTATACTATCTAAAATTATTCTTTTCAAATAGCAAGTATTCATTAAATGTTGAGTGGGTGAGTAAAGGAAAAAGGAGGAAGCACAGAATCTTGGAGTAGAAATCAGACTTGGAGTTCTACTAATCTGACAGGGACCCTGAATGGATAGGAAAGTCACTCCTCTGGGAAAGCTTTTTCTTTCCAAGACTGCTCTAACTTTATAAGAGGTTTCTAGTCAAAGCAAAATTTATCCCTTTCTAACTTTTGCCTATAAGTTCTGGTTGTACTTTTTTTTTTTTTTTTGGTACCGGGGATTGAACTCTGGTCCTTGCACTTGCCCAGCAGGCGGCGAAACCACTGAGCTACATCCCCAGCCCAGTTCTGGTTTTACTTTTTGAAGCAAAGCAATAAAGAACTACTTCTACACAGGAGATGTGATTAAAAAAAATATGATGCATTTAAGTTTTTTAAAAATTACAACAGTAAAATTACATTATCACTTTGAACACAATCATCCCATCATTCTTGCCACTTTCTGAATCACTTCTAGAAGTCCTCTTTTGTGAATGTCTTTAGTTGCACTGTGGTGGCTGCCTCAGTGTCCTGAATCAATTCAAAATGTTTACCTTTAATGGTTATTTTGACTTTAGGGAAGAGTCCAAAGTCACATGGTGCCAGATCCAGTGAATAAGGTAGATGAAGACACTGTAGTGTTTTTATGAGCCTGCCTTTCTGTTGGATGGCACTCAGCAGCAGCAGCATTCATTGTATTTTTTAATCACATCTTGTGTGTTAGTTACTTTTCTCTCGTTTTGGGGGGACATCTAGACACAAGCCATAACACCTTGTAAAAGGACTTCACTCACCAAAGAGAACTTCCAGAACTGCTTCAGACATTGGCAAAAGTGACAGGATAAGGGTATTTGAAGCCAGGGGGAGTATTTTGAGAGGGATTAATGGCAGTGTGTCTTTTACTATAATGTGGACCCAAATCAAAACCTAGCTCTGTCTTGTAGGCAGATCTTTAAACTCCATGGCTGCATCTATGAAATGGGGGCAATATCAGGTATCTCCGGCCCCAAATGGTTGTAATAATTTTTTTTTAAAAATGAAAGAATACACAGGAAGCATTTAACACCTTGCCCAACACACAATAACAAGCCCAGTAAATGTTAGCCAGGATCCTGCTGCTACTTCTTAGAGATAGGGATTAAAAGTACAAGGGGGCCAGGGATTTAGCTCAGTGGTTTTGCCACCTGCTGCACAAGTGCAAGGACCCGAGTTCGATCCCCAGTACCAAAAAAAAAAAAATACAAGGGATGCCAGGCATGGTGGTTTGTGCCTATAATCCCAGCACTCTGGGAGCTGAGGCAGGAGGATTCCCTGTTAGAAACCAGCCTGGGCAACTTAGCAACTTAGTGAGTCCCTGTCTCAAAAACAGAAAGTATAAAGGGCTGGGGATGTGGCCCAGCTGAAAGCCCTGGGTTCAGTTTCCAGTAGTGAAAAAAACAAAATAAACAAGCAAAAGAAAGGGCAGAGGGTGAAGCAGGAAATAACCCCAGCATCTAATTGAGTGGGAAGTGTCTGTGAGGTGTAGGGAAGCTGAAGCAGATCATCTTAGCCCTACACAGCAGCCATCCTCTGGTCTTCCTAGCTCCAGCATCCAGTCACTGTGGCTCCGCTCTCTCTGATTTGGCTCTATCAGCTCCTGCTCTTTGCCCCTCTCTCCCTCTTCCCTGGCTTATGGTCATTGCCTCTCTCTGCCGCCTCTGAGTTCCTCTTGACTGGTCCTTCAGGCTCTCTGACAGCACAGGTGACTGGTTTGTCCCTTCATTGTCCAAGAAGCATCTGTTGAGGAGCACTTTCTCCCCTCCTAGGCTTACCGGTGGGCTTCGAGTCAGGTGATTGTCCCTGGTCCTGCTAGCGAGGATCAGGGTAGAACAAACTAAACTGATGGAGAATACCCAGATTATGACACATTCTCTCCTGGTGAAAGCCAAATTAGAAATGTTTATCACACTGTCCCAAGAAAAGATGCTGTTTGTCTCCAATATCTGTGCCATCTGGATTTTATATTTGGCACCATCTTGTGTCCTCCTAACTTTCCAGTACAGTTCAAATTCCATCACATCCTTTAAGCTTTTTAAGAAAATGTAAGATTTACTGAGCCTCACTAGTTGGAATTTGCTGAATTTCTACATGTGCCAGGCATTGTACTGGGCGCATTATATATAATTCATTTAAATTGTGTAAGAGCCCTTCCAGGTAAGCATCATTACCTCCATTTTATTACAAGGGATCTTAGCTTACATAACTTTCCCCATGACCCAAGGCTCTAAATTCTTGGGCTAAGAAGATTTTATTACCAATCATTAATGTATTTTTAAGCATTGTACATGTATTGTTTAAATTAATCTTTCCAGAACCCTGTAAGGCAGTATAATCCTGATACTCATCTTAGAAAAGACACAAAGACGCCAGGCCTGATGGTGCATATCTGTAATCCCAGTACTCTGGCAGGCTGATGCAGGAGGATCATAAGTTCAAGCCCAGCCTAGGCAATTTAGCAATTTAGTGAGACTCTGTCTCAAAATTAAAAAAAAAAAAAATTAAAAGGAGCTGGGGGTGAAACTCAGTGGGGAGGCCTTGGGTTCAGTCCCTAGTGCTGAAAAGAGGAAGGAAGGAAGGAAGGAAGGAAGGAAGGAAGGAAGGAAGGAAGGAAAGAAAGAAAGAAAGAAAGAAAGAAAGAAAGAAAGGAAAGAAAAAGAAAAGCAGGCAGGCACAAAGAAGCTAAATAACTTTCCCCACCCACACACCTAATAAATGGTAGAGGAGGGATTCCATGTTCTAGATTTTTCTGATTCTAAAGCCTATTACCACAAATTCCTCATTTCCTTCCCTGCTTTTATACCTCAAAACCTGACATGCTTCAGTCTTCATTCATCTCACTCATCAGTGAGATAACCTGTCTATAAAAATATAAAGGATTTATTCTCCTTTTGGAACTTCTCTTGATGATTCATCATTACGGGATGGAATTTTTCAAATGCTTTTACCATCTTAGTGATAAAATCTTTCACAGCCTTTAAATTATTTATGACACTAGAAATGGAACCAGGGCCTTGGGCATACTAGGCAAGTGCTCTACCACCGAGCTCTGTCCCTGGCCCCTTTTGCAGTCTTTTTTGGCTGTATTTGTGCATCAGATGTTTCATTACTACTGAACAATAACAAACCCACATGGAACATGTGCCAAGTCATTATGATTTTACACAGTGAAGGATATGTTTCTCTACCACTCTAGCCCTGGTTTGTCTTGACCAACACCACTTTGAGCTGGAGTTCTCCTGGCGAACCTAAGTTTGAGCTGCTGGGCATTCTGTGTTATACATGTATTATTCATCAAGCAAGGATCCAAGGCTGAGGAACAGCTGTGGGCCCCAGACTGCTGCTCACTCACCGCCCAGAGCCGTCTCTACCTGCCCAGCCGGGATGCAAACTGACCTTGTTAAAAGTCTTAGCCTCGGCCCCTCCTCTGGCCTTTGTGGAGCTCAGAAAGGGGAAGGGGGACCTGCAGCCTGTGGCCTCACAGACTGAATTAGCAAAATCCTAGGAAGGGGTGAAGGAAGGAGGCCCAGATAGCCTGATTTGTATGAGAAAAGAGCAAGATTGAAGGCTGGGAGAGCTTGGCTTCCAGCCAAGGGAAACCCCTGGTCCAGGGGAGAAGAGTGGAGGGTGTGTGTGTGCCTCTCTCTCTCTGTCTCTCTCTCTCTGTCTCTCTCTCTGTCTCTCTGTCTCTCTGTCTCTCTCTCTCTCTCTCTCTCTCTCTCTCTCTC